GAAAACGAAGTTTCACAATAAAAAGGATAACGATACTTAAGATAAACAACGTCGTTTATTTATAACAGAAGGAGACATAGATAAACGTTTCGGAATCCTACAGATTCCTTCTTCGGTATATAAAGCAAAATAAAATAATTACATCATTCCTAAGTAAATAACTAAAATACATTGGTGCAATAACGATATTTTACTCAAAACTAAAAACATATAGAAAGTGAATGAGTAACAAACAAAAATGCTGGACATATTAAAAAATGTGCAATTTAAAAAAAAGACTGCATGTTATTCAACGTTGGGGAGAGTTTCTTTAATCAATAATTCCAGATCAGTGTTTGCCTTGCAAAGGATGTTGAAATTTGATAAGTTATGTTTATGTCCTGTTTCTTCACTATGTTGGCGTACAGAAGAAGTACAGGAGCTATTAAACATTTTAGGTTTTTTCATGAAAATTACAATATCTTCATTGGCTCTACTTAGGAGATGGCGTTTGGTTTTTTCCATTATAGGAGGCCTTACAGTATCCACACGTGTAAAGATATACAAGCCACGAAGAAAGGGAAATTGGGAAAAGTTCTTTAGTACAGAAAAAAATATTGTATGCGTGTACAAATCTGTAGAATTCCGAAACGTTTATCTCTGTCCCCTTCTGTTATAAATAAATAATGTTATTTATCTTAAATAATAAAAAAACTTATTATTTCAGGCAAAATTTTGCCATTTCGGCTTCAACAGGGCTCATAGTACGAGAACAATATGACAAAAAATACCGAAAAAAACTTACACGAGATAACATTTTTGTACAAAGAAAATTTGCAAGCTAAAACTGAAATTATTAGAACTAAACAAAATGTTTCCTTTTTAACTTCTAGTGATGCAAATCTGCATCTTAAACAATAAGAAGAATGATAATAACACTACAAATCATATGAGACTTTCATACCGATCACTCAGATATGTGGAGTGAGATTTTATAATGATAATTTGAATATTTGTTCCTGTGTAGAAATTAAAGCACTTCTACTTTAATATTAACAGTGTAACATATAATTTATAAGATAAATAATGGAATACAATACAATATAGAGTAAATGAGTATTTTTCCTACAACAAAATTCATAAGGTATCGTAGGTAACACACTGATCTCCTCGGAGATGTGCACCGGTTACAATTGCTTCGAAGTAAGTATCTTACTATTATAAATTAGGTTTTGTCAGTATGCTTGTGACAGATATAGAAGTTCTGTACCAATACACCGAGTGGAAAAATCACATACGATTTATGAGTGAAAAACATATCGTGTTTTCACGTTACAGTTTTGAGTACCATGCATGTGAGACCCCTCTATGTATTTTTTATGTATATATATATTTTTTTACTGAAACATAAATGTAAGTTGTGTTTTACTCATATTTCGACATAGGTAAAGTCCCGATATTTTTCTAGACGTGAAAGTATTATTAAATATCAAAATAGTGATTATAAATTATGCCACATATAAGAAAATTTATTTGTTCACAGAATGAAGTAAAAAATTTAATCATTATCAAATTTTAAGTGCTTGAAAGCACAGTAAAAATGTAAAAATATGCTATTTTGTGCTGTTTGAGTCTCATAAATGATAAATTACTATATTCAAAACATTAAAAAATCCTCCAAATCGTAAGAGTTCGTCATCTTAAACAAAAATAATTAATATAATATTGTAGGATTTCAAATCGAACTTTCAGGAACAATTATCGTTAAAACTTTTTATTTTCAGTCGTTAGAGCTAACGAAATTTGAAAGAAAATCTGAACGGAGCTATTTATATTTTGGCATTTCCTTGAATGCCCCCTCCCCCAGTGACACAGCGGTATGTCTGTGGACTTACAACGCTAAAATCCGGATTTCGATACCCGTGGTGGGCAGAGCACAGATAGCCTATTGTGTAGCTCTGTGCTTAGTTACAAACAAACAAGCATTTCCTTGAAATAAAAGCTGAGCGTGGTACAGTGGCTAGCGTGCCGGATTGTGAATTTGGAGTTCCAGGTTTGTGTTACGTGACCGGCATGAAATAATTTTAAAACCGTTCTTCGCATTTCGGGTCTGTAGATGCATTATAGAAATGAATAATTCCCACTGTTCAGTCTAACAAAAGTAGCCCAAGAGTTAACGACGGATGATGTTAGCTAGCTTTCCCTTTAGCCTATCATTTTCAAACTAGCGATAGCTAACGCAGATTGTTCTCGTGTAACAAAAACAAAACCTTGAGGTAAAGAACCTCAAACAATTTTTCAATTATACAATTCGAAAAGAAAATAGTCTTTACCTCATACATAATAAGCGTTACAAACGAACTTGGTTTTTGAATTCGGTTTAACAAGAAAGACTTCTGATGTCTGCAACATCACTTATTCATTGAATCTCCAGTGAATGGAAACTGTAGTAAGCATTTATTGAATCGTTGGCTGACATTGTTTCATTTTTAAATACTTATAAAAAAAAGGCCAGACTTTCTCTGTTTCTTACAATTCATTGTTAATTCTTGTTTATAACGTACTACTCGTAGCATTTTTTTTTAATTTCATATCGTATAGAAAAAACAGTGAGAACCGCTGAAAAGAAGTTTTAACATTAGATATTGTTTATTGTTGTTCAAATTGTGGTATATTTTACACGTAGTGCATATTTATAAATTAAAAATACATAACATACTACAATAACATCACAGCCCTAGATATGAATGGAACTATACTATTAAGTCTAACCCTGGTTTCAAATAGACTTGATAATTATTTACTTTTTATTTTGAAGTTATCTTGTCTTTAATCTTAACTTGAGGAACAACCAGTTTCTTGACATTCATGCAACTCTTCAGGTTTACGATAAAGAGGAATCAAGTACAAATTATAGAAAAATAATCTTTAAATAAATAGAATCAAGTCAGAATATCAGTAATAAACGTTCGAATTTATAAATACGTACATATACTAAGTTGATAATAAAAACAAGTACCTTTTAATATTTGCTTTCCTTCTTAAGTATACATGTATGTACTCGACATTGTTGTTGTATTTCCCTCTATATTGCTCCCCAGTGGCACAACGATATATCTGCGGATTACAACGCTAGAATACGAGTTTCGATACCTGTGGTGGACAGAGCACACATAGCCAATTGTGTAGCTTTGTGCTTAATTACAAAGAAACCCTGTATGTCAAATAGATAGAAAGTCATTATATTTGCGCCTTCTACAATCTGAAATTATTTAGTATTAAACATGGCTTTGAAATGTTAGATGAAAATTGTTTTCACAATTGTACATGTTTCTTTTTTTTTCATGCCCGGAAAACTAAAAATAAAAAAATAGCTCTGTCAGTGAACAGAATTTCCGGATAAGACATCCATTAAAATGCTTTTTTGTTTGTAGCGAGCTAGTGGAAGAATTATGTATACCTAGTACTTGGGTATATTTGTGCGCAAACGTAAGTTATCCGTTTTTCCGACATAAACCTACTAATATATTACAGGAAATATGGAACATCTTTGGAGTTACAAATATATTGACCGTTGGCACAAAAGATTATTTCACAAGTAGAACTATAGATACATTTTTCTGCTTTAATGTAGTATTTGATACAAATCACAATTCCAGCGATATATTTGTTTTTGTGCTGTAAGGTTGTATCAAGTAGTGTGTGTAAAGTTTGTAGGATGTTTTACGGCCAAATCCGTTTCTATTTCGATTAAGACTAAAATGATGGATAATTACGAGTGAAAGAATGTTTTATGTTTCATCTGCAATCTTGGTGGCTTCAAAAATTTTTGGGGCAATTTTGAAGCCCCCAGATATAATATTTTCTGAGCTGTGACATTTTTTTAAAATATGTTTTAGTTCTTCCACCATAATCTCTCGCCTCAGTGGATTATATACTAAGATATACAATCTTTCTGCCTAGTTCCGAGGGATATTTGATTTTATGTGTTTGAGGTGGCTGCTGTAAGAATCCAGGTGCCTATGCGAGTTTGTTGGTTTGTAATAAATATCAGTGTTCACTTCTCTGCCTTTGGTTACTATAATTAAAACTTCTAGATATGGAAGCTGGTTTCAAATGTTTTCATGGGTAAATTGTGTAACACGGTTTACTCTACTCATTATTTGAAATCAAAATTTCCAGATCATAGGAGAGATTCCAGATTATAAAATAGTCATTTAGATAACATTTCCATGATAGTGTTCTATACTGAAATAGTGTAGTGACATATCAAACATTTTCTCGTCAAATAATCCATTATAATTGTAGTACATGTGGGAGATACTTTGTGCTCATAGCTGTACTTGAAAGCTGATCATAAAGTGTATCATCAAAATCAAAGAAACAATTATTTAAGACAAGATTTAAACTTTTTATAATTAAGATTGTATTAAACCTAAGATGCAAGAGGTCTATATATATATATATATATTTCTCTAAGAAGTGTGTTACTGCTTTTAGTCCAAAGTTATTTTATGTTTAATACTAGGATACAGAGAGATAACATCAAACGATGTTAGCATGTGTGGCTTTCTTCAATTCTGTTAGAGAATTTGGCGATAAAATCTCCATCATTCCTAATGTGGAAGGGAACTCTGGAGATAAAAGGTTTGTGTCATATATCTAGAGGTTTAGCAATCTTATTAGCAACAGTCGGTCACCCTTATATTTTAGGTGGCGATGATATTTACGTTTTAAATATTCTTCTAGGGCTTTGCATTTGTGTATTTTTGGAAAAAACAGAAAAATTAAATTTTTGCTTAAGATTAATTAATTTTCTTTGTTAATTAGATTATATATAAAAAGTTTGTATAATTAATGAGTTTTTGTTGTATCTCATCGAGTATATCATTTTTGCTTTCTGTCGTAATGTCACAGATCTCTTTCTGACCTAAATTTTTGGATTCAACACAACAAATCTTTTATTTATTCGTTATATCTTAATTATCAACAATCGAATAACATTATGCTGGCTTACTTACTCATTGATTTTAGGGACAATCTCTTGAAGTATATTGTAGGTCTGGAATGGAAGCCAACAAAAAGCGAAGATAGTTACCACAATAAACAGCATCTTGATTACCTGTAAAGAGATAAATTAGACCAAATATTATAAATCTTATCTTACCGTTCGTAATTAAAACCCGTTAAATGGAATATTACTAGAACTTATATTTTAGAGGCTTCCAAAAATTGAAGCTTACCAGAATGTTAGCTCATTGTTCTGTCTGTTGATAATGTGCATCGGCAGAAGATTAGCTAATTAGGTAAGTAAAACCTTCTAGCTACAAACATTCATAGGCGGAATTACAGAGGGGAAGGGAGAGAAGATGGAGTAGTTGCCCCCCATTTTTTTCTTCTCTAGGATATACACTATCCTACCAAAAGTCATTGGACACGGGTAGTTATGAATAAAACATGTCTTTATTCCAAGAAGTTAATAGCATGTTGGCCCTCCTTTGGCCTTTAATTCTTCGTGGAAGACTGTCTACTAATTTCTGGTAGAAAGCTGATGGTACTGTGCTCCACTCTTCATTACTCTTCATCCACTCAGCATTAGTAAGCTCCCTACTGAAGAGGATCGTCTTGGCCTTGCCCTAATTCTGCGTTCTACTTCATTCCAAAGATGTTCTATCAGGTTGAGGTCAGGGCTCTGTGCTGACCGCTGCAATGTTCCGATGTTACTATCTTCAAACCATGCGTTCACAGTCCTTGCTTTATGACATGGAGGGTTATTATGTTGGAAGGCGTAAGGGCCGGTACCATAAAATTGCCACAATGTAGGACACACAGGATTGTACAGAACATCATTGTAGGACTCGGCATTCATGGATCCATGCACTGTAACCAGTGGACATACTCCATACCACTAGAAGCACCCCCAGACAATGATACTGCCTCCTCCACACTTCACTGTTGGGACAACACACTCAGGTAATAAGCATTCTCCAGGCATCCTCCATACCCAAACATGTCCATCAGACTGGAAGAGCGTGTAGCGTGACTCGTTG